TCATCCAAAACCTGGTATACCAAAAGTACATCACTCTCGAGGCCGACGATCAACATCATCTCGTATTCTGAGCACAACAAGAACCAAACATCGTCAGTGCCACACTTCCAAAGGAATGATCGGCAGTACCTTAAGTGTTGTCAAAAAGAGTCAGCCGAGACTCGCTTCACTCGGTCGAGAACTAGTCTCTCGAGGCTCAGTCTGTAAACATGCCGACTAGCTTCGGGAAATGACCTCAAGCCGACATGCTTGATTGAAGTTGGCTTCTAGGTGCATTCTTGGCGCTTCTCTTTGTATGTAATAACATTCTAGGGGTTCTTCTCAACCGAGGCTGGGGTTGGCTGCTCGCTGCGTCCGTACTTCGTACTCATATCCTTACCAGTTCAAGGAGACCTTGCCGCCGCCGTCCGTTCATCTTGCCTCTTTGGTATTTCGGGGGAAAGGGATGCTTGGAATGTCGAACGCGTGAAATGATTGAGGCTCTGTTTTGAATTAGTGCTGGACCTTTCAGCGCTGCTATTTTCGAATCCTTTCGTCATAAGCATGCATAATACACTTCGCTTAGGTTGCACAAATGCATAATTTCCGTATAGGTGCGCAACAGACTTCTTCTTTTGGACTACTGTACCCCAGATCGGCAATAGAATTGAGTGAAAAGACCGGCACCTAAAGGCGATGATAGATTAACGTTGCATGAGGGTAATAATAGACCACAAACTTTGAGGAACGTTATATGGATACGAGATGGACGTCATGGCTTCTTGGCGAGTTGAAAATTCTGAGCTTGAATCATGGGTATTTGGCACGAACGATTGTGACGACAAATCTTTCACGGAAATACCACAAAACAGACTTCAGACGTCAGTCCGGACGACCGAAAGCCTGGGCACGTTCTCGTTCAACGATGTCAACTAGTCTTTGAGAAACATGACACATGTACCACACGTTTGCTCCAAATGACATCCTATTTTTTCTGCTTTCTATGTTTCTTGCAGTACGTACTCAAATGCGACTCTCCACGCCTTTTATCCAGCACTTGGGAAGCGTTCAATGGAAGCCAATAGATATTGGACTTTGTCTATGTCTTCCGAAGATTGGAAGTCAGTATGATCCGCGAATGCGGCTTGATGGGTATAGCAATTGTATCTTTGGCACAATGTCGACGGGAGTCTTCCGCAAGCTCACTCGACACAGATACCCAATCCCAACCCCCCAGTTCAAATCCATCAACGCCAAATATGGAAAATGCTTGCTGACAACAGAAAACAGACCAAGGAAAGAAAACTCCTTATGCTTAATCCCAAAACAGAGCACTGATCGATTCTCCATGGTGAACACGACGGATGGCCTCGGCGAAGACCTGACCAACATCCAGAACTTCCAGCTTGGGGCACAAACGGAGGTGCTCATCCTGGGGAACACTATTCGTTACAACGACCTTATCCAATGGGGAAGCATTGATGCGATCGATGGCATCTCCGCTAAAGACACCATGAGTGAGGAGTGCGTAGATCTTTGTCGCGCCCTCCTTCTTCAAAAGCTTAGCAGCTCTGGTGATTGTGTTGGAAGTGTCCGCCAGATCATCCACAAGAATTGTTATCCTGTTTGCAACATTTCCTACTAGCATCATGGTGGCATTTTGTCGGTCTGTGATTCGGGTAGGTCGGCGTTCCTAGGAGTATAAGTTTGCGCAAGTTTAGAGTTTGGGGAAATTTTACCTTATGGATCAATGCAAAGTCTACATTCAGATCATCCGCAATTGCAGTTGCCCTCTTTGCTCCACCTGCGTCTGGACTGACAATGACCGCATCCCTGAAGTTTGGAATCTTGGTTTGAATATACTTCTTGAGCAGCGACTTTCCATACAAGTTGTCCACTGGTATATCGAAGAAGCCTTGGTATTGGGGGTCATGCAAGTCCATGGTGATGATGTGATCCGCACCAGCACAGGTCAATAGATCTGCCACAAGCGTTCCAGCCTGGGCAACCCACTGCTTGTATCCTGGCTTTGGCTGGAAGATAGCTTTAGCATCTTTCAGCATGGTTTGGTTCTCATAATCATGGGTGGTGAAAGCTGGAGCTTGAGATCCTGAGTTGCCACGGCCCCGGCCGTTCATGGAGACAAGCGAGTCATTTGTATCAGATCTTCTTGGTGGTGTGATGCCATTCGTGTAAGAGAGACCATTTTGTTGCTCTAGCGATGCTTTGCCCAGCTTCTTCTGCAATCCTTCCATCCCGCTTCCATTTGTGAGGCCTTGTGACTGCGGACCAGCTCCAGGTGTCGGAGGGCGACTTTCGAATGTGAAGTCGCCTTTATTGATGCCAGTAGGAGCTTTCGAAAGGGGGGCACCAACCTTGTTGTAGGGGAGGTCCGGTTGTCGCGAGTAAGGGAACAAGGGCAGAATGGCTGTGACTTGTTTGGCAGACCCAGTCTTGCATGCAGAGATCATGATACATAGATCGACAAAGTGATCATTGACATTGCCGCCTCCAGATTGAACAATGTAGACATCTTTTCCTCTAACAGAGTCTTGGATCTCCAAGCGGCTCTCTCCGACAGAAAATTTCTTGAGAATGCGATTGCAAGGTGGCACACCAAGAATGTTGGAGATGGTGTTAACCAACTGAGGGTGAGAATTGCCCCCAAGAACGACTATGTTGCGGACCATTGTGAAGGGTGCGATTTAGGTATCCGTTGGTTCTGGTTGGAGATCGAAGTAGGATATCGTCGGGGGAGTGCGGGATTTCAAAAAGTGGGCAGCCGCGGCAAAATTGATGCGATGGATGTCGTGCTCGAAGGATGAATTGGTCGGCAGAAGAGGAGAAGCAAGAGAAGGGAAGAGGGCTATGACGAGAGGAGCTGGCGGCGGCGCTCTTGATGTGTGTAATCCATTTGATATTGGACTGTGTATTGTTTGACTGGGAGGAAAAGGTTGTCGCGAGGCAAGTTAGAAAAATGCGTCAAAGAAAAGTTCGAGCTCGGGCAGACAGCTGGAGGCTAGCTCGAAAGGAGTTAGTCACTGGCGGGGTTGGCTGCAAGGCTGCTGTGCTTGTATTTCGGTCCCAGGAGAAGTTTGACGCGCCAAAAACTCGAGATATACATCATGAATAGATTAGATAAAAACCATGAATTGTGTTCCTTGGACCTGGACTCTGATATGTGAAAGCCAAGCATGCATGTCTAGCTTTGTTTTCTTTTGCTTCTCTTTCCAACTTCTAGTGCCAATTCTCATGTGCTGCTCGCTTAAATTTTGACGACAAGGCTACAGAAGTGAAAGGGCAGAAAATTGCCAGTTGGACATCTGCGTGCTTGAGCTTCTGCATCTGATTGGGAAACCCATCAGCAGAGCCTCAGACCACCAAATTCCCCGAAGCACACACTTTCTGACAGGTACGACTAATTGCACTTGTCTATCTCTAATTGGACCTCAACAAACCATTGGTAATTGGTAAGCATTGTGTCAACCTCTTCTGCAGCTGAGCTGACCAGACAAGCTATCACACCACAATCATGAAGATTTTAGAAGCTCAGTCAGCGACCCTCACAAACTATGAGGTATATACACATTTGACGGAGCAGAGATCACGGTATGCCAAGAAGGGTATCAAAGGAAGGCGCCCAGGCAATCTCGAGACCGTTGTGAAAGAGGTGCAGTACCCCGCATTGGCAGCACAGCCCTGTTGTGTCTCAATCTGACAAGGATTATTTACAGCTGCTCGAGTACTTCCACGAAGCTCCCTCTCCCCTCGCATCTAAGCCTTTGCCGTACAATGACCAAACCATCGGCACACTCCTCGAGCGACTACGTCCATTCAACTTCACTAAAGCTGAGATTCTCATGATCATGAACCTCAGACCGACTAAAGCCGAGAGCTTGAACACCATAGTGGAGGAGATGGACGATAGGTTCAGCGATGAGCAGCAGCTTGAGATCGTGGAGATCATTGCTGAAGTCCTGGGTACGGCAGACGGAACTGCAGAGAGACAAGCTATGAATGATCAAGCAGAAGTGCGGAAAGCCCAGCAGCTAGACCCAAAGATGGAAGTGGACGGATAGATGGGGGGAACGCGGTGGAGGTTCTTTGGCGTTTGGAATGGGCATCTAATGGCGTTGGTGGGATACTTTGACCTAGACAACACTTCGGTGAAGGTTTGATTCTTTTGCTTTTGTGCGTTACGCTTTTGATACCACTTGAATGCCACACTATGGAATCATAATCCAACTATCGCTTGTAGAGCTTCATTCCTTATCACCAATGTCATCAAGTTGAGTTTTAGCATTGGATTTTTGGCTGCTTTGCTTTGAGCTGTGTTACTGCTGTCCGCATCTGAAGCCAATTTTCCCACGAATGATGCTTTTCTCAGATGTAGATTCTTGAAACATGGTCATGCAGAGGCTTCAATCGTAAAAGCAAAGAAAATCTTGGCCATTCTTTACTCTTTTCTTGTTCTTGTCGCTTTTGTATATGCATCATGGGATTTTTTTAAGCATCAATTTACCTGGGATAGTCTGCCAACTACCCTCAGTCGCGAGGGCTGGTTTGACCTGATTGTATCTATTCTCATGTCATTGATTGGGTTGAGGACATTTCTTGGAATAATTTGCTTCTGATCGAAGGATGGATGCCAGGTCCAATATTAGGTGTCATGCCTTCATACCAAGTGTTCTTTGGATGTCAAAAGCGTGCACAGCTGCTGCTGTTGCTTCAAGACGATCTCCCCTGCCAACGCTGATTTCAGTCTCATTCATTCCTCATAATCATGCATGCGACTTTAAGGTGCACAGATTGCATTCATATTCTTCACACGTTCCCGTCAGTACCAGAGTTCGCAGCAGTCCTCTCTCGCACCCTGATCCATCGGCTCAATGCCGGCTCTCCGCCTCCCCAACAACGACCCACCCATCTCGCTTCCCTTGAAAATCAACAAACACCGCCCCCTACCAAACAAACGCTCGCGTCTCGAGCAAAAGACCAAAAAAGATTCGAAAAAAAAGAAGTGGCCAGAGAAGGAATCGAACCTCCATTTTCACAATACCTTTACACCCAAGCAAGCTACGAGTACAAGTATAATACATTACGAACGACAAACGCCACTCCGACAGTACTTTGATTGTGACGTTCTAACCATTGAACTACCTTGCCTCGAATGTCTTTGATGGTGGAGGAATGTCTTATTTGAGTAGATCTTCGAGCTACTGAAATGTCTGGGGATTGGGGGTGGAGGGTTTCCCGGGGTTGTGGCCTGGGCATGGTGGGTGTGTGAGGACTTGTGGTGTAGATGGGTGAGGAGGAGTTCAGTTTTACGCATCGGCAGATTGTTCGTGATCGTCTGTCCTCTAAGAACTTGTTGCCAACCCGTGGTGATTTCCGCCAACGTTTGTTATTGTCTTGTGTGAAGGTCCTTTTCGTCATTTTTTGAATCGGTTTCAAGCCTTCTTTGATGAAAACAGACAACCCTCTATTGGCAGTGTTTTCAATGCTCTTTCATATGCTTTCAGTCTGTCAATTTTTTTCCTTTCCTGTGAGGGAACGGCTGATTAAGTACTTGACATCTCCACCAGATATCATGTTGTCTCCAGATCCAGCAATTTAAAAGTGTGTGTCACTCATCATCTCGACCATGCATGTATTTCTTGTGATGTTGTCCGTTAAGCTCGAGAGCGACCTAGTGTGATGAACGATCCCATTCAAGTACAGCTTGTGAGTAGTGGATGCACAGCCAGCCTGCCTATGTTATACTGTACCTGGGTCATGTTGTAAGATTACCATAGATTTCCACCTGGATCGCCTAGGCATTTGGAAAGCCCAGCATCGCACTGCACCACGGCTTCAGATCTCTTGGCTCCCCAACTCTGTGTTCAATCTGAGAAGGCCAAGCACGACCTTGACTACTGGTTAGCTTCTTTGAGAAGTTAAAATTTACTTCTCTTTCGACTTAACGTCAAAGGGACTTATCCTGGATCCATCCACGTCGTTTTTGCGGTGCCGATGGCGACTTACCAAGGAACCAAGATCATCAGATCATTCAGCTCTCCTTTAGATTCACTCACGGTGTACATCTCACCAAGTTAATAACTACTTTGAAAGATTTGTTTTTGCCTAAGGCCTTCTAGATCCTCAGACTTGGAAGACCGACATTGGGCACAAGCGAGCAGCATGATTAGAGGAAACATCGCTCTTTGCTAGCCGACTGTTGTGAACTGACAGCACAGAGGGTACTGCCTACGCAATACCCTCAAGGAACTGGCGTGCTGGTTAGTTCCTCCTTTTTTCAAATGGACAAAGTTCTAAATGACATTTGCCGGTAGATCCGCCATGGTGCCATGACCCTTTGGCTCGCTGCTCCGGGAGCCTGTTAGATACGGTCTGCTTGTAGTAAATCCGGGACACAGTAGATGATTCTCTGTTCACAACGGGAAGATGCTCACATAGCTTCTTTATCAAGTGTAGGATGTATATGAAGTGCCATTCAACAGTTATGAGGCCAACTTTGCCTTTTACCCTTGTCTGAATCATTGTAGATCAAAAGTTACTCCATAAGAACCTTTGCAGATGGAAATGGTTGTATCCAGTGTCTACAGGGAGGAGCTCACCTGTACCAACAGCATCTCTCGCCAAAGAAGCATCTTATTCGCCTGCACCAATCCTATTATCCTATGTGTTCTGCCCAACGACCTTCAGAACAGCCACAAAAGACATCCTTCATCCCGCATGTAAGCCTGTCTGCTCGAATCTACTGTACAAAAAAATGACATCATTTATCAAAAATACTTCTCGCACAAAAGATATTCCGTATCAGTACTGTGACTTCAGTAGACAGCTGATACCGAAATTTTGTCCTCGTAAGAAAGAATAAGATGTTACTTGAGTTTAACCTCCCATTAGGAGGTTCAGGCTGTTCAAAGCCAAGTGCATATTTTGGCAAACCTTGACTACCGGCGAAGAAGTAAATTCCGAGGACCTGACCCTACGAGTGGCATCAGCGCCGTCTTCGATCAATACATTTATCTAGATATCAATATGGCACCAAAGGGATTTACCCAATCTGTCTTCTTTTTCGCCACCACCTTCCTAAAGCGGCTGATTGTATCCAAGTCTCTGGCGTGTGAAGGCTTCGAGTAGCTAGGAAAGCTAGGCTCTAGAAAGCATTAGTAGCGAAGAATATCATGATGCAGGAAAACGTCCATTAGCTGACAGGCTTAGCTGAACCCCTAATTTATGAGCTCTTCAACTGGACCGCACGTATCTGCATATTTGCTATGTGAGATTTGGAAGCTCCTGGGAGGCCAAGTGTAATTGCCAAAATGAAGGGGAAAAGCCAAGGGCTTCCTCCGGCTTTCTGATTCATCATCTTCACTTCATGATATCTCACTCCATCAATTAGTGCTTCTGGCGGCAATCTCCATCCTACTATCTATCATTCATACTTCGCTTTGGTTTGCTACCACCTCATCGGCAGGTATGTAAGGTACCTGTCGGTAACTCGCAACTGGACCGAAGTCAAGCGGAGGTGGCGTTAGAGTCTGTGCCGCAGCCATCGACAACCTTGGATGGAAAAGGGATTCTCCGAAAGCCCAGACTGTTCTATTCAGCCACTTTGATACCCATACTCGTACAAAGCTGGTCTCTTCGCCGGAGGCAAGCTGCGAGGTGAGAGGAGCTGTAGGGGTCTTCTTGGGTACTGATGCATCGATAATTTTGACTTTCAGAACGTAAATCCGCTCTCAATTTCACTTTTAGACGTGTCCAGGTTTTATAAGTCCTGGATGTTCACACATCGAGCAATACCCAGAGCGGGCGTTCTTCATCTCAGTGCTTATCCAAAAGAATCAGGTTTTGCTACGACAGGGGCAGCGCAGCCGACGGCTTGATTCTTAGCGCAAGCATAGCGCACTATTACTATTACTATTAATGCCCGCCTGGCCCGATTGACCTCTTACGCGCCTGCATACTAAGTACGGTCGTCCCCACAGCCCGATAGATGTCTGTCCTACTGTTCGATGGCCGAGCACAGAAACCTTTTTTTGTTTGTCCAACGACAACAGAGACACAAAACTTCCATTCTTAAAGGAATTGTTAGATGTGGATACGAAATGTATGTGATTACTGCAGCAGCGAGCGCAGTAGGAGAGATCAGACTATCTGCTGTCTTCGATCATGTCTCCTCGAGTGCACTCCGAGTCTGCTCGACAGCGAGAATTGTACAAGTATGTGAGACCATCAAAGCAACCGCGGCTCTTAGAGCCAATGTTCGCCTCTTGGCACTGACTTCCCCAAACTTTCATGTATTTTGCTGACGATCGTTGTCTCGCATCTAGGTACTGGCAACCTAATGAATCCATCTTTCCATCTGCGCAATACGACGAATCTTTCAATCGCGATTATACTCCACGGCCATCCTATGATTCCGCACTTACCGCGTACGCCCAACTTGGCGCATTGAGATGCAATGCGAAGCGTGGGATGATCTCTGTGGTGGACCAACACTCCCAGTATATTATCGCCGAGGGTACAAAGACTCTTTCACTACAAGATGGCAGTGTCATCGATCATGATGACGAGCTCTGGTTTGGGTTGCGAACGATTCCGCGTCAAATGGGTATCTGTGCGACCGCTCTGGGCCAGTTCACCATGCTAGGGGACGAGAGCTTGACACAGGACGCTATTTTCCATCCTTTGCAGTTTGTGATACCTGACCTTTCCAAGGATTCGCGCTTTGAGAACCAACCATTTGTCTGCGGTGTACCCTACCTTCGATTTTATGCCGGCGTGCCCATTTACTCGCCTGCGGGGTACATTATAGGTATCTACAGCATTGTAGATGACAAGCCACGGGAGGACTTTGGAGAGCGGGACCTGAATGTGCTGAAAGATCTGGCTGCGACAGTCATGGATCACCTAGTTCTGGGGACGGTCAGGAGTCGACATCAAAGAGCAGAGAGAATGGTAAAAGGACTCGGGCTCTTTGTAGAAGGCAAATCGACCCTACGTGACTGGTGGGTTCAATCTGGCCATCTTGCCCAAGGACCCACGACCAAGGATGGCAGCAGAGGAGAATTGAGTCTGAAGGCGCAAGCTGAAGCTGAATTTGGTCCGGAGGATGCGCAAATGGTCAAGCTGGGGAATCACGAGGCTATGCGAGCGCAAGATGGCCCTGTGGGGCTCAGACGAGACCACATACACAAGCTCACCGCATCACTCCCGGTCATGAAAGATACCTTTCCTGACGCAGTTCCCAGCTTTCAACAACCCCATACAAATGGGTTTAGTGCCCAGGACGTCATTCAAGACTCTCTATTGGGCCTTGTGAATGGCTCAACCGCCGACTCTTCGCCTCCGCCTGAACGGAACGCCTCAGGTCTACAAACAAACGTATCGCTAGAACCAACCCAGCCTGTAGATGACAATGTGAAGACTGAGGCGAAAGGTGAAATCCCTTCCACGTCTCAAGGAATCAAAGCAATGCTCTCTCGCGCGAGCATTGTAATCCGAGAGTCCATAGAGGTTGAGGGTTGCCTGTTCTTGGATGCATCTGCTTTGGCATTCAAAAGCAACTCAGTACAACCGTCCGATGACAGAAGAGACATATCGATATCTCAACCAGAAACCCCATTTGAGAGCGAATTTGAGTGTGAGAGTAAAAAGTCAGGAATGGTCGATGGCAGCGAAGACGAGGCTGCACAGGAAGTCCAGTTCAACGACTTCGAACACTCTGCGAGTCCGTCGTGCGAAGTGCTAGGATGCTCGCTTAAGTTTGGTGCGCATGTAAAACCGAATAGGAAGAAGGACGACTTTCGATTTTCGCATGATTTCCTGCGCAAGCTCTTGAAAAGGTACCCCAACGGGGGCATTTTCAACTTCGAAAGTGACGGCAGGGTATCGTCTAGCGAGAATGATACGGAATCCTCACTGAATGATAATCAACTGGCTAGGGAGAATCGTAGGGCGAGGAAGAGGAAAACCAGCAGTTCTCTCGAAGAGCTTGATGCACAGTCGATTCGGGACGCGCTCCCTGGTATTCGGTGTCTCGCATTCTTTCCCTTACGGGAGCCAACTACAAATTCTTGGGTGTGTGGATCATTCGCTTGGACCAATGATCCCATGCGAGTGCTTAACCATGTTGATGATCTGGCGTACCTGGC